TTAATGGGCGAAGGTAATAGGTAATTATTTCTTTGTCTTTTTCTTTGCTTGGCACAAGTTATAATAATATGAATTTGAATTTTAAGGAACTGTTAATTAATTTTCTTTCACTTGGTTTCTCATTCTGAATATTCTGTTTTAATCATCCCATAAATTTCCCTCGTAAACTCCTCATGCTCCTTGGCTAATTCTGCAACATATTTATCACTTCCCAAATCACTTTCACAATTGCTTTTCCTATGCTTAACAAGACGGAAATAACACTTTCTTAACTTTCATTGCTGGATAATTTGGATGGAAAAATGTAAAATCGTATATAAAATTATCTATATGGCAAAAAATAAAAAAATAATATTGTTAGTTGGCAGAACAGGACAAGGTAAGTCAGCCTTAGCTAATACACTAAGTAGTGGAGATAAAAAAAGGACAATAAAGATGATAAAAAATAATAAACTAGTAGCAGACAAAATCATCAAAGAATTAAAAGAAAGTCAAGGGTCTAAAAGCGAGACCAGAAACATTCAAATAGTAGAATTTAAATATGAACGAGAAGAGTATCAAATAGTTGATAGTATTGGAATTGGTGATACATCATTATCAGACAGTCAAGTGCTAGCTGAAATAACTAAGGGATATGAATTAATCAAAAATGGCATACACCAAGTCTTATTTGTGGTTGGTGGAAGATTTACCCCCGAAGAAGTAGAGACTTTTAATCTGTTAAAGAAGTTCTTTTTTGATGTAGACGTTGATAAATATACCACAATTGTGCGGACTAGATTTCCAAATTTTGAAGATGAGTCTGAACGCAACAAGGACATTGAAACGTTACGTGATGAAAATAATCCAAAAATTACCAAAATGCTTGACTCTTGTAATGAGATTGTTCATGTAGACAATCCTTCAGTAAATGTTGTTGGCGATAGTCTAAGAGTAAAAAAACAGGTTGAGCTTAACAAAGAAACTCGTGAGGTTTCTAGAGAGAAATTATTAGAATGTTTGGTAAAGTGAAAAAAAGAGGGTAAGGAAGATTTGAAACCCAAAGATCTTAAAAAAATAAAAGAGGATTTTAAAGATAGAGTAAAAAAAGAAAATAAAAAATTTGAGGAAGAAATAAAAAATTTGAGGAAGAAAAAGGATGAAGATCTAAAAAAAGAAATAGAAAGTCTAGAAAAGAAAATAGAAGAAAACAAAAAACTTGAAAATATCGATGCATTTGAAGCACTTATAGAAATAGCCGCAAGTAATGATAAAAATAGATGCCAAATTTTATAAATAATTAACAATCATATGAAAGACATAAGAAATATACTATTAATAGGTAAATCTGGAAGTGGAAAATCTGCTTTAGCTAATGTAATAACTGGTACTAAAAGATTCGGAGAAGCCGATTATGCAGCTAGTTGAACAAGAAGAATACAAACTGAAGAATTTGAATATCCAAAGTTGCCTGTTCTTGATAATAAAAAGATAACTAATGCCGAAAATGTTAAAGTTGCCCAAACTGTTGCCAGACAGCATATTGAATCACTATTCAAAGAAAGAAATAAAGTTGAACCAAGTAATTTGGATAAAAGTTTGTGAAAAAATAAAAGTAGTTGAGAAGAATATCTAAAGGAACTAAAAACTAAGGAGGGAATATTAGAATTCATCGAACTTCTAAAAGGAGAACTAACGATTAAATATAAGGTAATAGATACAGTGGGCATTGGAGATACGGGAAAAATGTCGCTTGATAAAATTTTATATATCTTGGCTAAATCTAGTTATATAGTAAAAGATGGCTTGAGTCAAATATGATTTGTGGTAGGTGGTCAATTTGGAGAGGAAGAAAAATCAGCATACAACTTGCTAAAAGAAACAGTTTTTGATAAAAATATGTCTCAATATGTTACTATCATAAGAACCAGATTTGAAAATTTTGAGGATCCAGAGGAATGTGATAAAGATAGAGAAATTTTATCTGAAAGTATTAGTGAAGAACTTGGAGAAGTAATTAATAGAATTGTTCATGTCGATAACCCCCAAATTCATCTTACTAGTGAAGGAAAGCGAGTGGAAAGACAGAAGGAATTAAATATAGAAATTCGTAAAGCATCGAGAGGAAAATTGTTAAAACATTTAGTTGCTTATGAAAGTATCTATAAGCCTTCCAATCTAGACATTTTGAATAAGATAGTTGGTGAGGAATGGAAAGATAAGGAAATATTAAAATTAAAAATAACTAAGAAATTTATTCAACACATTAGGGAAAAAAATTCAGGACTCGGAGAAGAAGTAAAAGAAGAGCTAGAAAAAATACGAAATAAAGTAGAAAAAAGACTGATTCATTTGGAGAAAGGAGAATTGGATAAGAAAACATCTAGTCAAGATTGCCAAAGTATTTCAAAGCAAAAAAAGAAAGAAGATAATGATTCAGTAGAAGAAAGAAGAGGACAAAGAGAGGAGTTTCAAACTAAGACTAATTTACAAAGCGAATTAAGTAAGCAAATAGAAGGTCAACTCGTTAGAGAATTAAGGGAATTAAATTCTTATCTCCTAGAAGGTGAAAAATTTGTTGAGTGAAAGAAGAAAGTTGATCAGTTAAAGGGAGAGATGATAGGAGAAAAAGGAAAAAGATTAGTTGATGAGATTGTTATTGGCAGAGAAGAAATTATTAGAGTACTTAAAGGAGATATTGAAGAGAAAAAGGAGCATTTGCAGGAAGTAAAGGATTCTCTAGAAAAGAAACTGTCAAATGTTAGGGACTCTGTGTCTAGATTTTTTGGTGGGGGAAAACAAGAAAAAAATTTGGTTCAAGAGATTTGTCAAGCACAAATTGACCTTGACAAATCAGAAACAGAGTTGGAAAATATTCAAAAGATTTTAGGAAGAATTGAAAATTTTAAAGAACAACTAGAACAGCAGTTAGAGACAAGAGTTGAAGTGTTTCTTAAGTAAGGGATCTCAAAATTCAAATTCAGAATTAATCGTAGTAATAGTAAAAGAAAATTAACTAGATAAACATTCGGTGTCAATTACTTTCAAAAATTAGCAGCAAACAGAGCAAAGGGGGTTAAGATTAGTATTTTTTTAAACGGGCAAATATTCCAATTTTTCAGGAGACTTGCCAGAGAAGTTGTAAGAAAGAGCAATAAACTATAAACATTATTTCAGTTTCTAAAAAATTATCTAAATTGTAAAGATTATAAACTCCAGAAACAGGTGCTGATTTATCTTAAACCGAGATTACAACTTAAAGAATAGATACAGAATCTTAATTTTACAAATTACAAAATTTGGCATTTAAGTTTGCCTTTTCCAATTTCTTCTGTAGGTGATTCAATTGTTTCAAATCTTTCATTTTCTTCCATTGCAATTTGGCATCTCTCCTCCTTTAGGTTCTCCAATAATTTTTTTCTAGATTCTTCACGAGTCTGTTTGTTGAGATTAATTAATTTCTCTGCATTTTTGCTACTTTCGCTAATGTTTATTGAAGGGTTATCCATATGAATAACTTTGCAAGAAGTAAATGAAATGGAAAATTTTGTAATTTCTTCAATTAAAAATTTACTGTCTTCAGCACAACTATTCTCATCCTCAAAGTTAACAAAATTAGTGCGAACTATGGTAGTGTACTTGTCAATCTCATTTCCAAGTACACTTTCTAATAATTTAAAAATTTCTTTTTCTCCCTCAGTAAAACTGTTGTTATCAACAACTAGGAGAACTTTACTTAATTCTTTTACTGACTTAATTACCTTTTCTATTTCAGAAAGCACTTTGCCTCTAGGTAATCGAGTATTACTAGTCCCAGGAGTATCGATTAGACGATAATTAATTCCCTTTCATTCAAAGGTACCTACTTGACAATTTTCAGTTTCGCTGGAACCGTATGAGCCTTCCTTAAATATGCTTGTATTAGTTAAAACGTTAGCCAAAGTAGACTTTCCGCTACCGGTGCGACCAATAACAATGATATTTTTTGTCATATAAGTTGCTTTATATTTTTTTCAATCATGCTTCCCCTCATCTTCATCAATGATTATGGCTGCTCCTTTTGTTTTGATTTTATCAATATCCATTATTTCTTTTACTTTACTCTCTGGTCTTTGTTCAGACAAGCAATAAATATATTTCATGTCATCAGGCAGATACTCTAGACCTTTATCGATATCAGTGTTGCTAATATTTAACGATTCTAACTGGGTCAAATTCTTTAGGAAATTTAGAGAGCCGTGAAATTTATTGTAAAAATCTCCTTTTATTTTTTCCTCATCATCATTACCAATTCATAAAAGTTTTAATTTCACAAACCTGCTAAAAGCAGATAAATCCTGTTTGCAAAAGTTATTATTAGTTATATTTAAAGAAATTAAGTTATCGTCATTAAAAAGAGAATAATCTAAGTTGGTCAAAAAATTATCACTACAAGAAAATCTTTTCAGTTCCTTTAAATCATTAGACAAACTTAAACTAGTCAAATTATTAAAAGAAAGGTCTAATTCTTGTAGTTTAGTACAACCTCTTAAATCCAAACTGGTTAACTTGTTTGCTGAACAATCCAGTTCTTTTAAATTGGTACAAATATTAGTATTTAGTTCGGTAAACTTATTCTTACGACAGTAAAATTTTTCTAATTTATCAAATCCTTCCAATTCTAATGAACCTTCTAAAAAATTATTGCTAATATTTAATTCGATTATGTTCTTCCTGTTTTCTTTTGGATAATTTTTATCCAATCATTCTTGTGCTTTTTTTGTCATTTCTTCTAGTACTTATTTTTTAGAGACCTGAATATAACTTTCTATCTGACTTAACTGTTTTTGTATTTCTTCTTTTTTAGGAAAATCTGGATCTATTTCTGTGATGTGTTGAAGAGTCTTTTTAACTGTTTCTATTTTCGTATCTTCCCTGACGTTGATTACTTTATTCAACCTATCCAAGTTCGTTGGTCTATATTTGTTGTCATCTTGAGGAATGTTTGCTAAATGGTCTTCTAATATAACTTCAGAACGATTTCTTTTTCTCTTGTTGCTTTCTCTCTCATCTTCATCATTAACATCTATAGATGGATTATCCACGCAAATAGCTCCTTCAAGTCCTCTGATCACTTCTTTAAAGCCCTTATTACTTTTCAACATTTCCTTCTTTTCCTCTTCACACTTCTGTCGATTTCTAAAACCTGGGAAATGGGTTCGCACAACTATAGTATATTTAGCAATGTCTGCATCGAAAATAAATTTTTCTAGAAAACTGTATGTTGACTTTTCCTCTTCTTCAAATTTACCGCCCTTTGTCAAAAAAAATATTCGACTTAAGCCATCCCTTTCTATCGAACTACTAATTTTTGCTAATTGATACAGTACCTCCCAGTCAGACATCTTTGTATCACTAATACCAACAGTGTCAATAACCCGATACCTGACTCCACTAATTTCTTTTTCCCCTATTTGAATTTCTTTTGTTTCACTGACACTGCCCGAACTTTCCTTAAATTCATTAGTTCCAGTAATTACGTTGGCCAAGGTAGATTTACCACTACCCGTTTTGCCTATTAATAGTATATTTTTTGTATTATTTACCATAGTGTATTTAATTTTAAAATTTTAACTTAAACTTGTTGTGTTTGTGCTATATATGTTTCAGTGTCCAGACTCTGCTCCAGTCGAATAAGTTCAACTTGCTTATCAAGGAGTTTTTGTAACTTTTCTTTTCCTTCATTATCCAAGTATTTATTGAATATTTGCCTAATTTTTTCAGATTTTTCAGAAGCAAAATTATCACCTCGAACAAATTTCTCTTGTTTTTCTAAAAGTAATTTTATTGCTGATCTTTCCCACTGTTTATCAAGTTTACTTTTAACACTTTCGGTCAACTCCATAAATTCTAGTTTTGATTCCAGTCACCTATTTTTTTCTTCTTGCTTACTAAATTTTTCAACTATTCTAAATGCAGCTTGAAGTTCTCGGAAGTTTCTTCCCATATCTTCCAGTTCTCTTACGTTCTTCGTACTAATAAAGAACTTTCTGTAAGAATTTTTCTTTGCTTTTTCTTTTACCCTATTCAATTCAAACTCTAATAAATTCTTGAAGCAATCTAGTGATAATAGTAAATTAACTACATCCAACTTTATTCTTTGTGGTTTATAAACTTCATTACATTCTGCCAAAACCTTTATTAACTCTTTCCTTGATGCTTCTCTTCTTTTTTTATAAATAACTATTTCATTATCATACTCCTCATCTTCATCATAATCATCAATTGATGGCAGCGGTAGATTATTTACATAAATAATCTTTCTTTGTGATTTAATTAGTCTGGCGAGGCTTGGATTCTCTTTTTTTATATTTTGTCTATCATCCTCACACTTTTTATTGTCTTGAAAGCCGGGAAAATTAGTCCTTACAATCGTAGTATGATTAGTAATTTTTCCGCTAAAAATGACATAATTCAAAATATTATATACTTCTTCTTCTTTTTCATCTAATCTACTACTAACCACAAACAATACTTGACTTAATCCTTCTTCTTTGACCTTATCGTACACTCTAGTTATCTCGTTTAATACATCAACCTCTGATAACTTTGTATTGCCAAAACCCGGTGTATCAATTATACGATACTTTACCCCATTTATTTCGAATATTTTATCCTTTATTTTTCTAGTTTCGCCGGCACTGCTATAACTTTCTCTAAATACTTCTTCAAACTGCCTATTTTTGTTTAAAAGGGTATTAGCAATAGCTGATTTTCCGCTTCCTGTTCTGCCGATCAGAAGGATGTTTTTAATTTTCGTTCTATTTTCTAACTTACTCCTTAATTTTTTATTTCTACCTAATTCTAGGTCAGTCAAAGGATCTAGCGGATTGCCACAGTAGATAAGTTCTTCTAGTTTAGAGCAATCGCTGACATCTATTTTAGTTAACTTATTATTGGAGCAATCTAATTTTTTTAAATTAGTAAATCCCTCTAATTTTAATTCACCTTCTAAATTCCTACTGCTAATATCTATTCTAGAAGTTTCCTTTCTTTCTTCTCTAGAAAACACTTCGTCTATTATTCTTTGTGCTTTTGTCATAGTGGTTTTATTTTGTTATTCTCGACTTTCTCTTGCAACCTCAACTCGCGGTGCTTCTTTATTAAGTCTATCTGCTTGTATTTGCTCCAATCTAATTCTTTCATTACGCCTTTCTCTTTTTTCTGATTTGTAAGCATACAATATAGAAATAAAAGCAAGACATATCGAGATTGTTCCAATAAGTCCTATAATAAAACTAGCAAAAGCAAGTTTATCAGTTCGAGGCCATTCTGAAAAATGAGTTAATGACATGTCGCTGTCTAATAATGGGGGGTTTGTCGATTCACTTGTTATTGATGAAGTACTTTCCATAGTATTTTTTAATTTTTAATATAATGATAGGAATGTTTATCCTATATAATTATTTTAATTAAGTAGTAAAAGTGATCAGGACAATTTTAAATCAAATTTTTTTTTTCAATAAAAAAAATGCAGCAAGACAGGTTATCTCTTTGTTTTCACAAATTAAACTTTCACTTTTTACCTTACTGCTAAAATTAACTTGTAATTGCGGACAACTTAAAAAGTGGACAAAAAATATGAAAAAGGTAGTATTTCGGAGTCAATCTCATAAAATATTTTTTTCTCCTGATTTGGTTTGTGGTAAATATAGTCTGTTCTTAAGAAAAACTACTTATTAACAAGGACTTGAATTTGTTCTTTTAGTTCTTCTAATTCTGTAATTTGCTGAGCAGTTAATCCAGTTTGAGTTCCTTGATCTCTGGTTTGGACTGGGTAAAATTCATTTTTGTTATTGTTCTCTTTGATTTTAAGCCTATAAACTTTTTTCCATTCTTCTGAGTCTAAGTACTTTAATAATTTCTCTCTAGAAGCTTCACGAATTTCTTTATTAAGAGCAATTTGTCTTTCTTTTCTTCTACCACCACCAACAATGTCGATTGGGGGGTTATCGACATGAATCACTCTTCTGCCGCACGAACTAGATAATAATAAGTCAGCGTCTTTCTCGCATTCATTCTCATCTTCAAAATTATTAAATCTGGTACGAACTATGGTAGTATATTCATTAGCATTTTCATCGAAAAAAAATCTCTTTAAAGTGTTAAAAGTCATTACTTCTTCAGGGGTAAATTGTCCACCAACCACAAATAAGACTTGGTGTATTCCATCCTCGACCAACTCATATCCCTTAGTTATTTCGTTTAATACTTGACTTTGTTCTAATTTAGTGTCACCAATTCCGGGAGTGTCAATTATTTGGTAGGTTTCTCCTTTATGTTTGAACTCTATTGTTTGAATTACTTTAGTCTCGCTTTTACAACTTTGACTTTCTTTTAGTTCCTTTTCTCTGCTTTTTTTTCATTCTCCATTTTCTAATTTTTTTACTACTCCTTTATCCCCACTTAGCACATTAGCTAAGGCTGACCTTCCTTGACCAGTTCGACCAATTAGCAATATTACTTTTTTTGTCATATAATTTAATTTTATAATCTTGCTTTTGTTATCTTTTGCCTGATAGTTTTTTTTGGTTGGTAAAGAAATTTATGCTTATTTTTCTCTCCACCCCCTCTGCCTCTGCCCATCATTCCTCCACTTCCTCACCCTCCCTGTCTCCATATTCAAAACCCCACTAACTAATCCAGCCTCTATCTTCTTCTGCATCTTCCTCCTTCGATAAGCCCTTTGCCTCTCTGCACTAGAAGAATACTTAAAAACTAACCCTCCTTTTCTCCCTCATTTTTGAAAATCTTTTCTCGTATACCCTCACTTACCAAAATAAAACTCTTTTCCCTTTTTTACCATAATCTATTTTTGTTATGCTAAGCGTTATGTAAGCCCTTAAAAATAGACTTAAAAAAGAGCATAAAAAAAGATAGTTTATAAATAAACTATATTAAAAACTTATTTCTGACTTAATTGACCATAGTGGGGGGAATATTAAAAAACTTAAACCTATTTCCTACCCTAATCCAATTTATCATATTTATTTAAAGTCAATTACCACTCTCAATTTTCACTATCAAAAGCAACCTGCCAAGCTTTCCTTAGTTCTCCAATTGCTTTACTACTTAAAACCCCCAAATGCTCTTTTAACCTTACTCGGTTAACCGTGCGGGGATAATTGAGTTGAAGTTTACTGGGATAATCTAAACCATTTTCCTCAGTATTTTTAACAAAGACCTCAAAGGGCTCAATACTCTCAGTGTCCTCTGTAGTCAGAGGGATAACTACTATTCATTTTCCATACTCATTCTAAATATTATCGCTAATAACCAAGCAAGGACGAATTGGCTTGCGGTCTTCTGTGGTAGGTGGGAATTTCACTAGTCAAATTTCCCCCTGTTTTGGAAGCGGAAGTGATTTGCTACTATATTTTTTACCTACCATTATAAGCCATCTCCTGATATGCTATCCCATAAAGATAATTCAGCCTGTAATTTCTTATTTTTGGCTTGTCTTTGGTAAGCAGCAATTAAGCGTTTTTTTAATTGTTCTTTTTCTAATTTTTCGTTTTCAAACTCACTAAAAATTTCTGCTTTGGTTTTATTATCTCCTTTCTTAATCTGATATTGGTAATTTTTCAGACAGACAAGTACGCTCACGTTATTCTCTTCTACCCTACGAAGTTCATGAAAAGTATGCTTATGATTATTTAATTTCATAATTAATATTGATTTTAAAAGTTCATTGAATTTAAAATATTTTCTAAACTTTCTTTTTTTAAATCAAATTCCCTAATGGTGTGGTCTTCTCAAATTTTTATTGTTTTGGAATTGGTGTTAAAAAAATATCTATCCTTATGACCCCCTTCGGCATTAACCTCAACATTTTTGTCTCCAAATTGTTCCCGAGTTCGACCAATAGTTCAATAATTATAAAAAGCATTCAAAATATCCTCTAACTTATCAGAGCAAGAATTACATAAATTTTCCACAAAATATTTGTCCGACAAATCTAATTTAAGGTCTCTTTTAATCATTGGTCTATTTAAGTCTCGGGGATTTCAATGAGGACAATTGGCTTCTCCACAACTTTTTATTTCTTCAATAGGTTTTAAACACCTTCGGCAATTTTTATTAGTTCTCGTGGCATTTTTATTTATTTCATTTACTGGCATAGAATTATTACTGTTGCCACCACTTTCATCTAATTCCTTAATCGCTTGCTGGGTTAAAATTTCTTTCTCTTGCTCTCTTTTTGCAGAAATTTCTTCACCTTTGCTGACTTATTGTATTGATGACTTATTTTGCCAAGAGAACTGGAATAACTTTGGGAAAAATCATCTAGTTCTTGTTGCCAAACTTCTTTACAATGTAGCAGAAGTTAAAGGTAGATTAATAGCAATTGCTGATGCAAAACCAATTAAATATCAAACTCCATATTTAGACAAGTGTCAAACTTGCCAAAAAACAATAGAAGATAAAAATAAAACCTGAGGTGCTA